CCCCAATATATGTATATTTATATAAATAGAAATAGAAGTTCTAATATTTTCTTCCCGCACCCCAATGGATTGTCTTGTGCACCCCCTGGAGACCACTGATGTAGACATTGATCTTCTGCTTTGAACTTTCTAGTATAAAGATTTTAAAAGTCTTTAAAAAAATCCTGTATAGGTGAAAATGAATGGTTTTACCTTTTTTACATTGATCACAACAAACCATTCAAATACTTGATTCATATGGACAGTAGAGAGTAAAACTTGACATTTCTGCATTAATACTAATGGTGCCTAACTAAATTTCCATCTATAGAAGATTGTATTGCTAGGAGTAGACCTGAAGAATTTCAGTTTGGCTAATTCATGCCTGGTGTTCAACCCTGTTAAAATTCCTGAAGCTGCACACCATAAATGAATTTCTTGTAATATCTTAAACGTCTGAGATAATCGCATTGAATAGTAAATCAAAATATATAAATACACCTACTTCTTTGAAAGATTCTTCTTCTCTTTGATTTTGAAGTCCTGCATGTATGACTATCAAAATAATGTGTTCTTTGTTCTGCATGTTTAAAAATGTGTTTGTTTAGGTTGTAGATGCTTATATCATGCTGATTAAGAATGTTTTCATGTTTTTCTGTCTCTTCGCTTCTTGCTTTTCATCATGTTCATTTGAATCATCTTACATTCAATCCTTCATTTTCAACAGTGTTGGCTGGCAAACTGAGAGGTGGGTGTGAACTTGGGTGGGGAAGATCATATCAAGTTTGTAGATGTATCTTGTGTTTGTGTACTGTATAAAGTACATCTTTTCCAGAAGACAAAACATGCTCATGTTAATATATACATGTATAGCTTTGTGAACTTGTCCTGTGTTTAAACCAAAAAAAAATTACTGAATGTTCCTACCCCCTGTTGGGCTGCAAACAAGTTTCTGAACACAGATAAGGTGTTTCTACTCTGATTGGAACCCAAGGCCAGATTCCCATCTACGCTAAGGTTCCTTGTACTGCTCGGGCAAAAAAAGGCCTTTAGGTGAACATATAAATACAACTTACGTGCACTTTAAGGCTCCTTATAGCATTTTGAGAGTGCAGATGTGCTACTCATGTAAATGCGAATCTGGCTGTGCATATTTGTCATTTCCCAGTTGAATAGTCAGTTTTTATGGTTGCACTTAATGATGTTCAGCATTTCACTGTTAATGCCATTCACAAAAGTGGAATATTTATCTTTATAAACCGTAATAAAAATTCAAATTGGGTTTCTGTCTTGCTGTAATTGTTGTGATATGATGCTCTGACCAGCCAGTTTAACCTGTTGTTTTTAAATTTTCCCAGCAGAGATTCAGGAAGCTAAGGCTCCTAGCCCTTCCATAAACAGGCAAGCCAGCATTGAGACAGATCGAGTGTCCAAAGAGTTTATAGAGTTTCTCAAGACCTATAATAAACCTGGTCAAGATATTTACAAGCAGTGCAAAATGTTTCTGGAAGCAATGCATCACAAAAGGGTAGGTGTGTTGTGTGCGTTGTATAAATGATAGTTAAAACAAGTGACTTGGAACCCAAAAGGGTCAGTCAGTGGTGCCCGTCTAATTTCTTCAGTTATGAACATGTATACTTTTAAGACTTGTGTATAATTACAGGCTGTTGCAAAAGCATACTGCATTTTTTACGCAGTTGTTGCTTCTACATACCTTCTAATGGTAGAGGCGGAGAAGGATAAAGTTATAATCTTATTCAGCCTTGTTTTTCATTGTCCATGTTGCCTGGGTTATCACAGAAAAAGTTCTTCATGTTTGTGCAGTCGTATATCTTCCAATTGTTCTGAATTAATTGTGCATAAACATCATGGTGTAAAGTAGGTTTCAGAGTACTTATTTAACATAGATGTTCTTTGTCGAAGTGTAAGAAAGCAGTTCTGAAAAATAATATAAAGCTCATGTTTATGAGAAAAGAATAAAGAGGGCAAATAACTTTGTAAGTTCAAATGTTTCAGGAAGCCATATTCATTTGGCTACAAACAGTCAAAATGTGAATTTTGTCAATTCCAGGAAAAAACTTCTTGTGGATACAGGGTGCCTAACTTTTGTTGGTATAGTGAGGCATACTCAAATCCAGATTATTTGTATTCAGTTTTTTTTTAACTTATTTATTTATGGGTAGAATAAGATGGGGAGGGGGAGCTGACTGTTTTAATGCTCTACTCCTCCAAAGCTGTCTGTTTTCAGGGAAATGTTATGGCAGTAGCGCCATCTACAGCAGAAGTGATAAAACATTCAGTACTTCATGCTATTTTTGTTTTCTTCTATTTAGCAAAAGCAGTGGGGCTCGATCTTCAGGCTGCATGGGCTAGCCAAGTGGCACAGGGGCTGTCTGGGTCAGATCAGGCCCTGTGCTGCCCATATGGGTTCCCTGCTGCCCTGCGTGCTCAGCCTAGCACACAAGACCACAATATCCAGGCCATGAGGCTCCTTCCAGGTCTGGAAAAACTTGACAGTAGGGGAACAGCAGTAGGCTGCCATCACTTCTCCCCCCCCCCC